GATAATCTACGTACCGAACGCATTTATAAATATACCATATATTTATAAATGCATAGAAACATTTAATTCATAATATCGATAGCTGTAAAGAACTCAAGCGATAGACAAGGCGAAAAGAAAAGACGTGCCAAAGGAAAATAATCAGAAATTGATTGCATTAGCGCGTAATTTCATTAATTATATACATATATATGTATATGTATATGTGTGTGTGGGTGTGTGTGTGTGTGTGATGAATCAATGACTGTGCAACGCCTCGTGTTAACTCGCAAAGTTTTCAGTTAATTTCTGCTGGCGTTTACATTGCGTATGAGTAATATTGAAATAAAAAGACCGAGAAGTTAATTTGTTATTGGGGTTGCGTATGTGAGCAGCACTTTTCAACAGCAATAAATATATATATATATATATAAGATATATATATATATATATATATAAGATATATATATATATATATATATATAAGATATATATATATATATATAAGATATATAAGATATATATAAGATGCCTATTGAGCAATTACAAATTAGTCTTATAATATCTATTCACTATCGCATTCGATTGTTAAATACACTCACTCGCACACACATAAGCACACTCTATATTCCATTCCGACACTATAATACACATACATTTATATATCTGCCAAGAATCGTTTGATTTCATTTTGTTTATCTTTGAATTGAAATGAATGAAAATTGGTTTGCTGACAGAGTATCTAGCTAGTTGAGCATTTGAAGATATATATATATATATTTATATATATATCTATGCATATCACTATATTTTTACTTTAGTATGTTTTATACTTTATAAAGAAATCGAAGTCCGATAAAAATATTTTGTTCTATTTCGAAATTTCTCATTTTATTTTTAACTTATTTAAAATTAATTATAAATTAAACAAGCCAATTTAGATGCTTTAAGTTAAAAGTAGCTAGAGCATTAAGACTGCAACAACAAAGGACAACTTGCTGCAAAATTCCTTATTGAGCCTGCTAAGGAATCTACTCCACTGGGGAGTCCCCCTCCTGAAGCCGCCTTATCTAGTTGCTCTAAGTGGTCCACAGCTCTTCAGCTTATGACATATTGAATTTTAAAGACTTTTAGTTTACTTTGATTGTCTCTGGTAAAAATGTGCAGGAGAAAGTTAAACATTTTGTACTCGTCTAAAGAATTCCTTAACTTGAAACTTTGCTGTTGCTGTTGAGTAGCCTGTACAGGTAATACAGGATAAAGGTCACCTAGCTGCTAGGCATCTATGCAAAGCAGCTGCTGGGCGGGCATTTGCCATGTTTTGGATAAATATATAAACAGTTAATAGATGAATTCGATAAGAAGAGATTTTCCTTAGCTCTGCCTGACAGATTAGAATCCTGTTGCGCTTTAGTTTGTTTATTTTGCAAGAAAACGAATTAAAAAAAATGTTGCCAACTTTCTTACATTATCTTGATTCCTGGAGAACTTTAGATTGAATTGCATTTTATTTTTCACGAATATAAGTGTTTTTTGGCTTACAGATAAATGCATTTTTATTTGACCCTGAACACACTGAATATGCACATTCGGGGTATATTGGTTTTGTTGAAATGTAAGAAGGCGTGGCTCATCTACATACACACATATATATATATATATATATATATGTATATTTATATATTGAAAATATCTTTTAATCAATAACTTTCAGCATTTGTTTGGGTCTCCCAAAAGTGCGCAGAGCACTCTCGCCATAGTTAATGCGATAGGGCACGGCAGTGGCTTTGGATTATCTTTTTTTCTGCGCTCAGGCGCTTAGAGCAATTTGACTCGTTTTTCTTTTGAACTCACGCTGCTGCGACTGGAAATTCAGCTGCGAGAGCAGCCAGCTTAGTTGGGCGTGGGAGTTTATGTGTTGAATATTTTCTTTTGTTTTTGGAGCTATGCTGCGTGCGTGTGAGTGTGCGCTTTGTTTTGTTTTTGGTATCGCTTCACGTCTATTGATTGACGCGTTCGTTTAGCTGCTGGCGATTACTCATACGCCGCGTGGCACTCGTCGAGTTGATCGTTGTTGTTGCTTGTCGTTTGGTGGTTTGCTCGTTTGTTTGTTTGTTGTACTTGTTGCGCACATTATTTTATTTGACAGCTGCTGTTGCTGTGGCTGTTTTTGTTTTCAATTCCCAGACGTCGTCATTGGAAAAGCCAAAGCGAAACTCATCTTATTTGGCAACAACAACAAGAACAACAACAGCGACCACAAACGTTTCAAGTTTAGTCAGGCAGCGCACATTGCATTTGTTTATTTTGTGGGTCAACTGCGGTTACCAATTCTAATACGCCCCTGTTTTGGCTACTCATATTTAATATATTTTTTTCTATTATTCAGTTTTTGTGTTTGTCAAAACAAATGTCACTTGTTGTTAGCTGTTAGCTGTTATCTGAACTGATTCATGCTGGCTGAAAGCCTTCATTCATACAACAACTATTACACACATACATACATGTGTATATATGTATACATGTGTATGTACATCTATCGGTGTAGACGTACCTTATGGCCACATAAATCATTTTCGTCATAAACATTTCTAGTTGCTCTTCCGCTTTGATCCCTCCACAGAGACGATCATACGCTAACTCTGACATAATCAAATAATTTTACAATTTCCAAAGAATGTATTTAAACAAAGACAGACACAAAAACAGGTTTAGTTCGAGTAAAAATAATAAATTCTTTCTTGATTTTTGTTCTTTTCATTTTTTTGTTTATTAAATATTTTAGATATTTGAATTTAAGCTTTGGACTACGCCCATTGGCTTATCTTAAGCTTCAGTTGGCAAAAGAGATCAGCTGAAAAATATATATTTTGCCTGCAAGTTATCGATTGGATCAAAAGTGTCACTCGTTAGAGCTTATCAATTTCAAATTCTGAAAAAAACCTGTGTTCTTCATTAATTTCATGAAAAGAGATAAATAAATTGCTCATAAAATATATTTTAAAGCTATTTCCAATCAATTTTAATTTGTTTCGTCTTATCATGAAATAGTTATTAAGAAAAACGATAGACAACTTGCTATAGTTAGACAAATTGTTTTCAGATTATAATCTTATCTATAATTATCGATACACAAATTGTACTAAAATTACATTTTTAACTTGAATTAGTATTAAAAGTCACAGTTTTAGGTTATAGATAGGCAATTTGTCTTCAAATCTATTCCCATCGATACTTATCGATTGACAAATTATGCTACGTTACCGTCAAATAAATTCTATTCGTTTTTATAGTAATCGATAAATATCTTTAGATACGTGATATTAAATTGTAGACTGATTGATAAATATCTAAGTATCGATAGACCAATTGTACTTAAATATATTTTTATCGTTAACTAACTAATCAATAATTATCGATATACACATTTTACCGCATGATCGTCTAACAAATTATATTTTAGTCTAACATAATCGATAATTAGTGATACATTTTTTATAATAATTGTTGGGATCACAATCTAAGCGATAATTATCGTTACGTTAGTGAATAATTCGATAACTGTGAAGCGCGATTAGCAAAGTTAATTTTTTCTTTTGAAAAAGAATTCACTTAACTCGGAATTAATAGCTATGTTTTTGGGCACATATATTGTCTGCTGTTATTTGGTGTGGTTTGTTTTAACGGTTTGACTGAACCGTTATGAGTAAACTTCCCCTCGGACAGCGGCAAATCTCATCGGTCTACGGCAACAGCTGATGGCCAGCGTTGTAATTATATCGTTTGGCTCTCAGTCTCTCTCTTTCCAACTCTCTCCTTCTCTCTCTCTATCTTTGGCTCTGTTCTTTTTGTAACAAACTTGATCTCTTGTCTTGGCCCACTGCTGAATTGGCAGCTGGCCAAATGACCACGTGGCTGGTCACCTAGCCAGCCAGCCAGACCGTTCGTCTAACTGTGTTCTAATGTGTGTGTGTGTGTGTTTTCTTTGAGTGTGTCAGCCATGCCAATGCAGCTAGCCATACGCAATTTTACGCCTTAATTTATTGCAATCGATGACGACGACGCGTCGGTCACCAGAGGCTAATTGCGAATGGCAACCGCAAACAGAAACAGAAACAGCAACAAATTGTTGTTGTTGTTGTTGCTGCTGTTGCTGTTGTTGTTTGCTGGGCCTTTGAGTTCGGTTTTGGCCAGCTCTGCATTATGCTATTCGCATGCCTGCTGCGCGCTGTGTTTTGCTTTGTTTTTGTTTGTGTGTAAAAAGTTCATTCAACCTATTTTTTTTATTTGTTGCAAAATACCCTGTGCACAATGCCAAGCACATGCTTAGCTGAACGTAGGGTATCATGCAGCCGGTCACAGGCGACGTGCTGCAATGCTTCATTTGCCAATTTGCGTAAAGTAGCCAAAGGAAACAAATAGAAAAAATGAGCAACTTTTATGCATTAAAAACGAACAACAATAATGAACAGACATCGCTTCACTATTGCTATAATATATACATTATATATATATATATAATATGTATCGAGCCAGTTGTCCCATAGTCAATTCGAGCCGTATTTGAAGTCAAAAAAGAAATTGTAAAAAAGATCAAATCCGTTGAATAATCTTGTAGTTTAATCTAGTTTTTTATTGTTGTAATTAAGCTGAAAGAAAAACGTAAGAAGCAAAGAAAAAAATGGACAAAAAACATGAATGAGAAGCGATTAGAGTTAGCGCTATGGAGGAAGTCTGTTTAAACGACAGCCGTTAAAGGCAGGTGTCACTGTGTTAACTGGCTTACATAAGGCGCAAATGTGTTCAGTTATGAAACACAGCGCAAGTCAATACCCTGGCATACAGGCCATATATGGTTCAATTGTTGAACGGTTGAATGACTTAAGAGTCAACGACAACGACAACGACAACGATACGACAACGGCCTGTCGCTGGCTATTTTAGCCATGCCCCAAAACAGGAAGCCCAATCGAAAATAGCTAACAAAATATTCAACCCTTTCTCTCGCTCTGCTCTTACAGTTTAAACAAGCAACACAACAGCGAACGGCGGACTGAGTGACTGAGCGATTGAGCGATTGAGCGATTGAGCGAGCGTTTGGCAAAGTGACGAATCAGTGTACAGCGCATCCTAATCCCGCCCAGACAACAGTCCCCCTTAACACACTCCATCGCCATGAGCAAGAAACCGACGGCCGGCCCGGCGCTCCACAAGGTCATCATGGTGGGCAGCGGCGGCGTTGGCAAATCGGCCCTCACCTTGCAGTTCATGTACGATGAGTTCGTCGAGGACTACGAGCCCACCAAGGCCGATAGCTATAGGAAAAAGGTAAACATCGCAGGCAATCCCAGATGTTGGCTGACTTACTACATTTTATTTCTTAAACCTTTCAGGTTGTGCTCGATGGCGAGGAAGTACAAATAGATATACTAGATACAGCCGGCCAGGAGGATTATGCAGCGATCAGAGACAACTATTTTCGCAGCGGCGAAGGTTTCCTCTGCGTCTTCTCAATCACAGACGACGAAAGCTTCCAAGCCACCCAGGAATTCAGGTGAGTGTTTCCGAGTGTGTGTCAAGTGTGCGGCAGCCATGTCATGCCACAAGTGTGCCCAAACAGGTCTCTCAGCAGCTCTGGCAGGCGTCATAGTCAAGTGCCGTCCCAGCAACACTTTCTAATTAGAGGCCCCAAGTCCGAAAGTGTTAAGCATAGTCAACAGTGTTTCTTAAACTGAAAATTAAGCTAAAATGCAGTAGTAGAAAAATCAAGCTCTGGCTTATGGGATATATGATTGAGGAAACAGATAGCTGAGCTGGGCAGCTTTTCATCAGAGATCAACGCTCATATATAAAATGTTCTTATTTTATTTTATAGCACTAAAGATAGTTTATCATATTTGCATAGCCTGAGACGACTATAGCATGATCAAATATCTATTTAGTAACTTTTATAGAAGATAAATTGAAAAGGAAAACCATCTCTTAACTCATTGAACTAAGAGCAGTTGCAGTTAGTGTAGACCCTATATGCTTAATCCTATAATTCATACCAGTTATGTATATGTCAAACAAGTAGCTAGATAGTGCAGATAGTTCCTTAGATAAGTAATTGAATTTCTTGTTTAGCTAGATCCAAATCTCCATTTAAACTAAAAGTTTCTTCAGTTATTCAGTAAAGGCTTAAAGTAGCATCGTTGCTTACAAATCAAACGAACTATCTACAAAGGAAACTATCGATATATTATCGATGCTTAAGAAACCCTCAAGGTTTCCAGTATTTAGACTCTTGCTAATGTCTTACAGGCCAACTTAGCTTAGTTTTCTGCAATATATTCGCAATGCTCTTACGTTTCCCTTCGATCGATAATTTGCGCTACTTGCTCGATAGAGTTGTCAGCCTAGTCCTCAATTGTGTGGGGTTAGGCTAATGTTTTTCCGTTCCCATTGACCTCATTCGAAGCAGAGAGCGAGCGGGTGGGGCGGGCAGTGAGAGAACATGAGTCTAAACTCAATGTAAACACGGTGGAGAGGCGCCTGTTAACTGACATATGACAATTATGAAGTGTGACTGGGTGTGGCTCGACTGGGCCACGAGTTGAGTGCGTGGGCTGTGAGTCATGACATGGCCTGGCGAGGCATTTGATAAGCATTTTATCCGTTACTTTATTTGCTCATCTGATTGACGGCGTCGCTTTCATCCACACAGAGAACAAATACTGCGGGTGAAAAATGATGAGAGCATACCGTTCCTGCTGGTGGGCAACAAATGCGATCTAAATGACAAACGGAAGGTGCCACTCAACGAGTGCCAGGTGAGGGCACAGCAATGGTCCGTGCCGTACGTGGAGACCTCGGCCAAGACGCGCGAGAACGTGGACAAGGTAAGTGCGGCGGGCAGCCCAATTACTCTCTATATAAAATGCGCGAGCTGAGTCAAATACAATCCAATCAATCAATCTATCCATATGTCTATCAATATATATATATACACATACATATGTGTGAATATTTAATGAAAACATTTGCAGAGACAGTTTTTAAGGGCTATTCAACAATTGGCTAAAGCAAGAAAACAGAATCAAATCTGGGCAATGATCATGAATTCATAATTTTAACAATTATGAACAAAAAACGAACCAGAAAAAAACATTGGAAAAAACGAAATGCAAAAATTTATTGCACACATTTTTGTCGTTTTCAGTTTGTTAGTTTTTATTTATATTTATATATATATACACAATATATACTATATATATATAAATTATTATTTTGTTTTTTTTTTTTTAGTTTATGTGTGTTTTTGTATTTTGTGATTACCGCACACTGTAATCAACTGCAGCAACTACAACTACTACAACAACAACTACAACAACAACTCACTCATAATAGTTTTCTTCTTCTTTCCTCTGTTACGATTCACATTTTGTGTGCTTATCAAAGCGTTTTGCACCTTTGCAAATCTTTTGACCAACATTTTATGGCCCCTTGTTGTTTTGGCCACACACTTACCAAGAAAGCTACAGCTAATCAGTTCATGGCAACGTTTATGCCATTCACACTTTATGAATTCGTAAAAAAAAGTGAATTTAGATTCGCTTGTCGGCGTAGCCAGGTGGCCCACATGCGCTCTGACTGATATTGAACTTAAATCAAGTATTAGCTTATATAACTTAATGATAAAAACTTCTTTGTAGATCATATTTTTGAGGCTTTTCTTTTATAATTTTGCTTTAGGCTCACACTCACCTTTTTACAGCTTTCAAATTCTTAGCAATACTTTTTCAGTTGTTTTTCAGAAGAATATTCATAATATCAACTTTTTAAAATTAGTAAAAAAAAATAAGAATTTTTATTTACTAGACTTATGTTTTTTATATTAAAAAAAAATAACAGTGAAATTGAAAATAACTTTTACTATATTTATATTATTATATCTGTTTGCTATGCAAATAAAATTATTATAAATTCTACTTTAAATATATATAATGTTTAATTTATGCAATTTTTTTATATATATTTTTTTAGGTATTCAAAAACTTAACATTTTATAGAAATTCTATTTAATATAGAAAACTTTCATATAACTTGAACTAGATCAAAGTTAAATAAGAAATATTATTTACTATATTTAAACGTTTTTTAGTTACTATTTTTAGAAATTTTAAGAAATTCTACTCGAAATTTAAATTTCGAAAATTTCTTTAAAAGAGCTGAAAGTAGAATTAGACATGATTTTTCAATATATTTAGCATTTATTTAAATAATATTTTAAGTATTCACAGGAAATTAAATTGCTGATTAAAAATTACATTCAGAAATTGTATTCACTCGAGAATTTATTCAAATAGATCAAAACTAAATATTTTTTTTTGTATTTTTATGTACATTTGTTTTAATTCTTTTTTTTAAGTATTCAGAAACATTAAAATTTATTAGATTAGAAATTCTTTTTAAGGTTTTTTTAATTTTAAAATAGTTCAAAATTAAAATTTAAATATTTTTGTCAAGTCAGAATTTTTATGATTAGAAATTTACTTGCTAGAAAGATTCTTTAGCTGACAAAAAACTAAACATTTCTTCTAGGGAATACCCCAACTTTTAGTTGAATCTTTGAAATAAAATCAAGGAAAATGTTATTTGAAATTGATGAAATGAATAATAGTTAGCATAGTTGAAGCATGTAGTTTTTCGAAATTCGAAATTTGATATCGAAATTGATATTGAAATTGGTTATCGAAATATCGTTATCGATTCCTTACCACAGCTTACTTCACAGCACTGTTATCACTGTTATCATTGTCGCCTATGGATGTTGTCTAACGACTTGGACTAAATACTTAAATGTTTTTATTTAATTATTATTATAATTTAAAGCCCTCATTTTGTCGTGTCGCCAGCGCGTCTATGTATCGCTCACAAGCTGCAAATCAATGTCTAAACATGGCACCGAATACACACACAACTGAACTTTATTTCTGTAACACTAACGAAACACACTCACGCGCCTGGCGCTATCCTTAATTACACCAAAAACAATCTCTTAATATATATACGTATTGAACAGATATCTATATAAGCGTACATGTATGTTTTATTCCCATCACAATTGCAGGTATTTTTTGATTTGATGCGCGAAATAAGATCACGAAAAACCGAAGATTCGAAAGCCACGAGCGGGCGTGCTAAAGATAGATGCAAGAAGCGGAGACTTAAGTGTACCCTACTTTAGGCCTTAGGTGCATACGAAACAACAATTAAATATATATCTATTTCAATTAAACAAAGCAATTATTAAACCAAACACACACACAGATACACCCACACACACACACTAACTGAACTTAGCGTAATGCCTTATTCCTTAAGTACTTTCGTAGCTTGCCCTCTTTCGCTTTTGGCTTCTTGCAACACTGAAATCCGCTTTAGTTCTAACAACAGCAATTTCTACTTTATTTTTATGATTTTAATTTTGATTTGATTTCAATTTGCTTCGATTTGTTAACTTTTGATCTCTTTACTTTACTAACAACAACAACAACAGTCGTAACACGAATAACAAGTACAACAACAACAACTTGTAAGACTTTACATATCGATTTACTGCGATAGTTACTAACTCAATTGAATAGACTTAGCATGTTTATAATCAAACTTGTGTCGGTAATATATATACTAAATATTAATATAAATACTAAGCCACACTTTCGAGGTTTTCTAAGCCAGGCAAACGAACTGGAGTAGGATAACAGCTACACCATATGAACTCTTCTTTTCTATCGATAACATATTCATCGATATATTGTTTGCAATCTAGAACTAAGCTTTATAAACATTATATTATATAGACTATAGTTTTTTTTTTCATTAGCTTCAAAGATAAGCTCAAAAACATATGTATCGATATCAGATTAATCGGTATATTGCTTATAATCTACAACTAAACGGAACTTGAGCAGGTTAACAACTTTACTCTACTTTCTAAACATTAAACATGATATGTATTATATAGCCTAAGGGTTTCTTTGCTTAAGTTTCAAGCATTAACTTAAAAATAGATATATCGATATTTTACTAGAATAACAACTATACTTTACCTTCTAAACATTAAACATTATGTGAATTATATAGACTAGTTTTTTTTTTGGCTTCAGTTTCATAGATTAACTCAGAAATATATATATCGATATCAGATTTATCGATATATTTGGCATAAATCTTGCCTTGACAAAGCAGTTTCTTCTCAATGAACAAAGAAATAGCAAACAATTATATTAGGAATACAATTCGATTTTTAGACTCAACATATTCATATGTACACACACACACACATACATACTTACACATACATGCATATATATAGATATATATGCTAAAATTATGTATATTATTTTAGATAGATTTTAATAGTCGAAGTAGTCGCAAGGCTGCAAACCGAATTGTCAAGCCAAATATCGCGAGCTTTATAATCGTTTACTTCAGATATTTGAGAGTATTATAACTTATGCAAGTCCCCGAGAGGGGAACCACTGATCCTCTGGGTTTGCAGCCTTGGTAAATATATATTATATATGCCATTTTTGTAAAGGCATATTACATTCTGTATGATATCAGAAAATTATTGATTAAGTAAAATTATTTGCTTATGTTTTTTTTTTTACTTTTATTTTTTTTTGTTGTATTTTATTTGATTTTTGGTTGATTTTCTATATTTTTCTTCTTTCCATTTCGGTTCGTGGTGTATGAAACTTTTTGCTTTCGGTTTTTAGACACTTTCAAAATTATGTAATTCTAGAACAAATTAACCCAAAAAACCAAAAAAAAAAATTAATAATAAATAGCGATACTCGTATTGGGAGCATGTTATTAATCCATATTAATGCGCTCTTCCGCAGGTATTTTTCGATCTAATCAGGGATATTTCATCACGCAAAAAGCAACGTCAGATGGACGTGAAAGAGCCGGCGAAGCCTTCTCCTTGCTGCCAATTGTTGTAAAAAGAAAACAGAAAACGCAAACAAAACAAAAAACTGAAAAGAAAAACCGAAAATCCAATATGAATCGACATGGCTGCGACACGAACAACAGGAAGCGGAGGCAAGCGTGCAACACGACACATGGAACAACAACAACAATGGCCACACGGATATGCAGCAAAACCAACAGCAACAACCACAACAACAAGAGCAACAAGCAACAAATCAGTAAAGCAACAAAATTAAAGAATAAATAATAATAATAGTAATAGCTGTGTTATAATATTTACAATATTTAATAACGAGCAGCAAACAGCAAGAAAATCTGATCAAAATTTTATGCAACAATTCAACGATGATTAAAATTGATAAATTCAAAATAAATTATGAATGATATGTAATATACATAATTAAATCGAACTCTAAATCTATTTCAATGAAAACTATTATTTAGGCTACAACAACTGCAGCAACAGCAACAGTAACAACAACAACCACAGAAATAATAAAATAAAATGAACTTGATAAAAAGGAAATGTTGTTTTAGAGCACATTTGTAATTGAACAATTAATGAATTCACTTTGCTAAAGTTATAATATTATCAATTTAGCAAGCTGAAACAACAAGTTTATACAAATATATTCTACTTTTATTTAATATTTTTATTGTTTTTTTTTTGTTATTTTGTATAAAGTAATAGCAAAATGTGAAACAAAGAAAAGGAAACAAAAACAAAAACACATACATACAGAAAAGCTTTTTATAAATATATATACACACACACACACATATACACACAATTTAACTAAACCTAAATATAGTTTAAAAGATATATAATTGTAAAATGCAGCTGCAGGTTGAAATCAAACTCCATCTTTAATAATGATATTAAATGTACTTTAAAAACAAAAACAACAACAATTTATGAAAAACCAAAACTTTTATGCAATTTTTGTAATTTTCTAACTAGCCACAAATGCAAACGAAACTTAATCTAAAGTTTAAAGTATGAGAATATAATATAAAAGAAAAAACTAAACAAAAACAATAAACAATTAACTTAGCTGCTTCAATTTTGTTTGAATTAATTATGTCTAAATAGTCTTTCGCAATATTCGCTAAATACAAATTGTTTTGTAATATTATTTTGGTTTTTTTTTTTGTTTCTTGCAACTGCATTCTGTATTTTAGTGTGTAAGCTATTATTATCCTTATGCTAATTATTATTATTATTATTATTCTTAGAACGGTAACGCCTACATCTAATTATTATTAAATATATAAGTTATGCAATTTACTTGATTTTCTTTCACTATGCATTTTGCTATTCAATTTGCTGAACATTCGTCTTCGATCACTGCGTTCGTTTTGTTTTTGTGTATGATAAATTATGAACAGAAATCAGTAAAACGAAAAATGTTGCTATATATATATATATATATTTATATTTATATATATATGTATGTATGTATATATATATATATATATAAATTTATAACGATAAGGGGCCTAGGGAGCTGGACAAACCGCCGCAGCAGCAACAGCCGAAACTCATTTTAAGCGTTCTACTCTCGCACTCAACCACACACACATACACTTCTTTTTGCTCTCACTTCCAAACACATACACTCAGTCCCATATATATGTATATATACATACATTCATGCATATATATATATATATATGTGTGTATATCGGAATCTATATAAGAGTAACTATTTTTTTTAACATCAGTAGCAAGGCATTTTTTTATAAACTATTATAAAGATTATGAGTAAAACTGGATACAAAAACAAAAACAACATATGTTTAGCTTGCAAATAAAGAAAACTATGAAAAATAAAAATGTCTTTTATTTATCTAATTGAATAGCTTTAAGGCATGAAAAGACGAAGAAAAATGTTTTCCGTCTGTGGGAGGCGCTAGCCAACAGAAGTTATATATATTATATATATCCAATTTCAGCTTCCCTTATCCCAGAATCTATTTAAAATCGTAGCGCATTGGACGTCGATAGCTTCAATGATTTGGCTCTACTGTTCTTGTGCCTTCCGAAGTTACTTAGCCCTGCAAGCAGCCAAAGAAAAGCAGAGTATCTACTAATCGCATAGTACCGATTAGAGCAGACCTGCCTACTTCTTTAGCCGTACTCAGCATGGCATGACTTGATCCAGATCCGCATGAACATATATCATATGAACAAGCTTCTGCTTTACCTTCTTTCCAGCAGAATCTTCACACCCTAGAATTGAAAATGCATTTTTGGAGTTGCTTTGAAATCACGTTTTTTATTTTTTCTTTCTTGCATTTTTGTTTTCTTTACACATTTATAGAATATATATATATATATATATATATATATATGCTTCATTGTTTTCATATATTTTTGTTGCTCATTTGTGTTTGTTTTTTTTTTTGTTTGTTTTTTCTTTATGCTTTTAAAATTAAGTTTACCTGTTACAATTACAGCTAAAAGATGTTCGTTTTCTGTATTTCATTTATGTTTTGTTTTTGTTTTTGTTTTCGTTTTTATCCTTTAATTTTTTGTCTGCATTGTTTATTCAAACACTCATAATTTGCAATACTCCCGATTTGTGGTTTACTTTATGTTAAGTAAATAAAAAAATATAGCATTTTTAAAATGAAATCGTTAAGTAAACGTAAGACAGAGACTAAAATATGTATAGAGGCTTAAATAACATATTATGTTCATTACTTGGCTACTTATGCAGCTAGATTCATTAAATATACGAAAAAAAAACAAAAAAAAAGAAAAGATCGAAACAGACTAAATTAATTACTTAATAAACAAAACACATAAATATGCAGATCTTCAAAACGAACAAACTAAATACATTTTAAATAGTCATGTTAATTTTTTTGTTGTTTTTTTGTTTTGTTTTTTTAGATTTCATTATTATTTTTTACACATAGTTTTATTTTATTTTTTTTTTTAGAACTTAACCCTAAGCATTTTACATTTACATTTAAACATTTACACAAACATTTACGTACTAACACTAAGTTCTTCTTGTTCTTCTTCTTTTTTTGTTTTGCATTTTTATTTAGTTTATGTTTTCTTTTGAAAATAGATTCCAACTGCGTTGTATTTTTTCTTTTTAAAAATTTTCTGGTGTCAAAATAAGTTTTAATTTTTTTTTTGTTTTCATTCTTTCTCATTTCTTATCATAAAAGGTTTTGTTTTAAATATTTTTCTCTTTTGCTCAAAAACGTTATATGAAAATTGTAAATTAAATGTGTTTGTTGTTGTTGTGTTGAAAACTTGCCTAAAATGTCAGCACACATACATACGTACGCATGTATGTGTGCAGAAGTGTTTTCTTCTCTAAAAGTATTTACAAATAGAAAATATAAAAATGAAATTTATATAATATTTAACGTATGTTTAGTATATTAATTGTTGTTGTTTTTTTTTGTTTTTGGTTTGATTTTTATTTTTTTTTTATTTTTTATTATTATTATTTATTTATTTACTTATTGCCCATCTTTATCAGATTCCAAAAGTTTTTCTTCTCAAATAAAAATTGTTTATTTATTTTATTTTTTACTCTTTGATCATTTTACATGATACTACGTCAATTTTTTTAAGATTTACAATTAATTTTTTTTGTTTTTTTTTTTTAATTATTATTGTTTAATACTTTTTTCTCTTCACACTCTCGCACACACACACGCACACATACAAATACACGTTGAAAAAATGCTCGAAAATATAATATTTAGTTTTGTTTTGTCTTCTGCCTTAAATTCCAAAGTTGTGTATATAAATATTCCATACAAGTTCTTCATTTTTCTTACATTTCTTCGTATAACTGTGACTCAAAAATTACATTCGCTTTTGGATCAGTGTTTAAAGTAGAGCTCTTAAGGCGTTTGTTCAGATTTCCACTCATCTATCAAAAAGGAAATATATAAAAAATAGAATAAAGAAAGGATCGATTTGGCCGTTCAACTCACGTTTCATCCCACATTTGCTACAAACATCGAGAGATACAAAAAAAAACTATAATATAGAGAATTTATGCTCTATTCTGGCTAGCAAACAGAGATGAAGAATTAATGCTTAAAACATAGCATATATATATATATATAAATCGCCTGTGTAGTATAGCTTATTAATACATATATGTTGTCTATTGGGGGCTAAAGAGAATCAACTGAAAACTCTTTCAGACTCTGCTGAGTGGCGCTTCTATTGGGTATTCACTGTAAGTAAATTGAGCTTGAATGTGCTTAATGAATCTTCAAGCTCTCGCAATGACAACAACAAAATTTGAGTTTAATTAAGCTAGAAGTGAAACTTGAATGCAGAAAACAAAAGAATCAGTTGCTACACTTGCCACATGCCACAGAATCGTGCAGCGTACTGAGTAATGTCCGATAAGTCTATTGTTAAGATTGTTGTATTGTTTGCTGTGTTGTGTTGGGTGTTGCTTATTGCACTATATTTTGTTTATTCAGTTGTTTGTTTGCTAATAACATTGCTGAGACACATTCCTAATGTATGTACGAGTATATGCGAACGACTACATCACTACAACAACTACATATGCCTATGGGTCTAAACAACATACATCAAATACATCGTACAGCATATATATATATATATATATATATATATATATGTATGTGCATTGGCTACACACGAGCACACATATTTGCACAACTTAGAAGAACATTAAAATAATAGCAAAAAGCATTTTGTGATGTACGAAAATAGAAAAAGGATGTAAAAGTTATTTTTTGTTGTTGTTTTTGTTTTGGTTGTTTCGGCCTGGGATATATACAAAGACATAGCTATAGACACTATATATAATTTTGTGTGTTTTGCTCAAAAGGAGTTTTCGTTTCTCTCGCGCCACTTCATCAATTCTACATTTATATATGAATATGATCTAACGGGCGGGCAGGGATTTTTTTGTAATTTTTTGTTTTTTGTTTTTTAATTGCTCTACTTTCTTAATAGTTTTTGTTTGGTGTTTTTCGTTTTGCTTAGATGGTTTCGTTTGGTCATAGAGTACACAATTGCTATATGCTAATACACATACACGCACACACACACACACACGCACGCACACACATGCACATGGCATATGTCTTTAGTTCGACTTTTTTGTCATACATCAAATTGTTGCAAAAAAAAACAGTTTCTTCATCTAAAGACTTATACAGAGTTATAGCTACGCACACACACACACGCACACGCACACATATACATCTTGCATGTGTGCCATACATCATATACCTAGATATGCATGTAGTTTTATAAAGCGTTACCCATTGGTGGTTTCTGTTACAACAGCGCATAAATACGTTTTCTTTTTGTTTTTAAAAGTTACTATTCATTTCTGCTTGTGTTTGTGTGACTGTGTGTAGATATGTGTCTGTGTGTGTGTGTCTGTGTGTGTGTGTGTGTGTGTGTGTGTGTGTGTGTGTGTGTGTGTGTGTGTGTGTGTGTGTGTGTGTGTGTGTGTGTGTGTGTGTGTGTGTGTGTGTGTTTGGTTGTTTTGTTGGTTCGCTAAACATACAACATTTATGTGGTTTTTACTTTTTCTTTTCTTTTTTTTTATAGATTTTTTCTAGCTTTTCGTTATATATAAATATAACTTTGTGTTTAGATACATTTTAGGTGGCTAAATATTTGTATACATACATATACATATACATATACATATACATATACATATATATATATGTTAGAACTTATTCAATATGTTTTTTTTTGTATTTAAAATGTGCGGTTCTCTCTATCTCTGTGTGTGTGTGTGTGTGTTGCTGTTGTAGCCCACTAGTTGCATTTGTTGTCTGCGATTTTCTTGTTGTTGTTGTTGTTCTTCTTTTGTGTATAAAATTATTTATTAAAAATAATTTTCTCTTTTGTTTAAATATGTATTTTTCTTTGTTTGTTTCCTTTTTTGTTTTTATTTTTTGATTTTCAATATCGATGCTTGAATGTTGGGCGGAACTGTTATGCTTGTTGCTGTTGTTGCTGTTGCTGCTGCAGCTGTGTGCGATTGTTGTTCTTGTTGTTGTTGCTGTTGCATGGCAGAAATCGAAGAAACAAAGAGTTGAGTACAAGAGGCTTGTCTACTTGTTTTGTTTTTCATTTCGTTTTTGTTTTTATATTTTTTTGTTTGTTTTGTTGTTTGTTAAATTTTTTATAAGGTGGGAGCTGTTGCACACAATTCAGTTGTTGTTGTTGTTTTAGTTGATTTAGGTGTATTATTATTGTTATTGTTGCTGTTGCCGCTCTGACTGTTGCAACTTACTGCGCCGCAGTGCCGCTGCGTATCAAGAAATTGTAATTGCGATCCTTGTCCGTCTGATGAAAGCCAGCAGCATGTCCTGCAAGCAATAGAAGGATTAGAGATTGCTAGAGAGTAAGTACTTGATATTTATCTAGGACTCTTGCGCTTACCATTGGCTGCGGCCGCATTGGGCGCTGTTGCAGTTACAATGGTGGCGCCAGCGCTGGCACCGCCATGGAACTTGATGTTGGCGCCGCGCGTGCCGCCCAGCAAATGCGTCGTCGTCGTCGCCTGCAGCTGCGTCTGCGTTTGCGTCGGCGGCGAGGAACTGGCCGATGAGGCGGGCGACGTTGATGAGCTGGACGCTGACGATGAGGACGACGATGAGGACGATGACGAGGAGCCATTGAACGAGGACGACGACGAGACCCCGCTCGACGAGGAGCTCGGCGATGGCGACGGCGTCGATGGCGTTGGTGAGCCGCGTGTCGTCAATGTTACGCCGGCCACATTGGGGCTGCCCGCTGGGCTGCTCTGTTGCGACGGCGACAATGCTGTGGGTGAGCCGTTGCTGTGGCCGTTGTTGCTATTGTTGCTATTGTTGTTGTTGTTGTTGCTATTCTTGAGCAGGTTTATGGCAACGGCGGCGCTGTGATTAAGCAATGAGCCCTGTGCAAAGTTGACATTGTTGTTGCAGTGCTTGACGCTGTTCCCATTGTTATTGTTGTTATGAGTGTTATTGTTGTTGTTGTTCTTAAGCAAGCCCATGGCAACGACGGTAGCTGCAGCGGCGGGACTCGACAGCGAAATCGCACTCTGTGCATAGCTGACAGCAGCAGCAGCAGAGGTCGCATTGTTGTTGTTGTTGTTGTGCTTGCCGCTGTTCGCGTTGCTCTTGCTTATCACAGATGACATGGCCGTTGTTATAAACTGCATAGATGGTGCGAGCGAGACAGCAACATAAAGAAAGAAAGAGAGCAAAGTTTAGCAAGTTTTGACATCGAGCGTTAAAAGTTTATAACAATTTATATTAAGGAATACAGACGCTAAGCTCATATAAAATTCTTGCGCATATTCAGCACTATATAACAGATTGAGGAGCTCATGGTTAAGCTATTTTCTAAAACCTTTTGCTTATCCCTCAAGCGGGCATTGGAACTATCGTGGATTTCTCATAGAACATTCAATTTTCTGAATATAAATTTAGATTCAGTTTACAAAGAACTTGGCATAGTGAATATTATGTATAATATTTTTATACTTTTAGTTTTAATTATCATATGAATATAATATAGAAATAGATTCTAAAAGTGAAATAAAAAATTTCAAATGTTTTTTTTGTTTTTGCCAAATAAATAAATAAATTAATTGAAATTTATATCTAATTAGAAATCGTTTTATTTACACTTTTATCAATAGTATATTTAAGCTTAACTAACTTTTAACTTTTATTACATCACAATGAACCAGTTCCAATCCAATAAGAATTGTGTACTATTGTGAACTGTTTATTTCTGGAAAACTCATCCATAAGCACTTGTATAAGTTTATAAATCACTTTGTCTCATTGTTCATGTTCATGGTTCATTTTAGAAAGAGCTACATGAACTTGCAAATTAGTTCATTATAAATTCGAATAGTCCTTTGATGGAGTTATTCAATTTGAAATGGAATTGCTACTGGAACTGGCTCTATAACTGATTCAGCTGACTAGTTCATTACAGTGCATAGCTTATTATTCGAGTTATGTGAACCAGTTGAATAGAGAACGTGGCGTATTTTAGCATTCATTTGCAATTTATTGCATATTCCGGACTAGACTCATTCAGTGTCAACTTACACCAGCGGCACAGACGGGCGTGGCGGTGCCGTCGAACAGAATGGGTGGGGCTGCTCCGGCCACTGACGATGGAGATAACGACGCTGATGATGACGATGATGATACTGATAAAGATGATGGTGAAGATGATGACGATGTGCTGTGGACGTTGGCGTTGCTGGTTGCCAGGCAAACGGCTTCATTGGCATCTGCAACATAAAACATAAACAAATTAGATTTTGGCAAAGTTTTAAGCAATTTCACACAGATAAATATAAAGATCAATCGATCGAGCCATGCGAATTGCATAAGACGAAGGTCGCGCGGGACGAACAGCCCGAACTGAAGTGCTGCAAATGATATGCAAAACTTGAGCTACTTTTCGCTAGCAGAACGCAAATGCAAATATCAAACAAATTGTTCGGTCTCAAGTGTTTCGTTGCAATGTATATAACAATATAATATATATATATATATATATATATTTATATATATATATATATATACTACTTCTACTTCTACTTTGTAGCACAGTCTCTTCTTCTTCACTCGTCTTCTGAAGCCTCTATTTAGATTTCTTTATGATGTCTGATCAATCGCTTTTGTCAGGCCTCTGCCTCTGCCATGTCTTGCCTTGTCTGTCTCTCCTCTCGAAATCAATGCTAATATGATCTATTTGTCTTGCATTTTCGACATCATACCGCCTGCTCCTCACCACCTCACTACCTGTTCAGCGCTGATTCAAGGACCCAAAGAATTTCCCCTTCGAATTATTGCGATGCACATGCAAAAAGAGTTCTTCAATAGCTCAATATTTAACTAGGTATTTTAAAACAATTTACGTTCGCTTGGCAATCAAATTTGCACTCGAGATTTGCCTCGTTCCCAAAGAGAAAAGTTGTGTTCATAAAAATAGTAGTGCTGCACTACACAAAACTCAAGCCAAACAGATGAGAAAAAGACTTGTTAGATCTTATATTTATCACTAAGTCTATTCAGTGCCGACCAGCTGCCTATGCACACATATCTAACAGCCATTAACCAACCTTTGTCGCTGAGTGGAATGCTCTGATCCGCGGGGCGTTTTAGGCTGCTGAGGCGCTTTTGCAGCTCAATCTTCTGTTTGGACAAGTTCTCCATCTCTGCCTCCTGTTCCCGGTTGTACTTTGACAGTTGCTATACAAAGAAGAAAATGAAAATGAATTACAGTTAGACGGAGAGAGTGAGAGAGGGAGACAGCCACATACCAAGACAGTTTTGTGCGCCTTGTCGAGTATTGTCAAATTGGATGTCTTTTTGCGATCCTCATCCTTGAGCGACAGCTCGTTCTTCAGCACCTCGTAGCAGCCCTTGAGGTGTGCGCGCCGATTCTTTTCTAGCTTATTGTGCACCTCACGCGTGCCCGCCCTGTGGAAAGAAAAGAGCATGCATTGAATTAGTTTAAATTAATGCTCTAAGCGCTACGCAGTCTAGAGTCTAGTCTAGTCGGATCAGTTTAAGGCTGATACGAATCACATAAATATGTTGACACTACTCACCCATTGCTGTTGGAACTGATGGTGCGTCTGCGACCGCCGTGTCCGGTCAGCTGAGATCCCGTCACTGGCGCCGAGCTGGAGGCGGATGCGGCCGAGGCCTGGTGCTGGCTGTGGTGGTGATGCTGTTGCTGCTGAACATTGAAGATGGGTCGGTACGAAGTGGTTGTTGTGTTCGAGGCTCTTCCGGCCAGCACATAGCTCATGTGCGCATCCTCCAACCCATGCGGTTGCGCTGAAATTTTATGGGAGGGCATTGAGTACGAGCGGATTCTGGCCTGCGGCTCAATCAATCGGCGTGTGGCCATCGGGGGCGGGGTAAGCGTTATTTGCGATTTGGGCGTCTGACTTGTCAGCGGCTGGAAGTTGGCCAAGGTCAAGCTGGCTGCTGAGCCAACTGTTCCAATGGCTCCTCCGGCTCCGGCTCCGGTTCCGGCTCCGGCTCCGGCACCGGCTGCATTTCCGGCACCGGCTATTGGCGTTTGCGTTGAACAGACGCCTTTGGCGTCTGCCAACACGTAATACTTGCACGGTAACTGGGAGCCAGCGCCCGCTGTTAGCTTGTGCTTCAGCGGGGGCGTAGTTCGAGCAGTGCTAACCGCAGCCGTGACCGTAGCCGGCACCTGCACCTGCAACGGCGATGAGCCCGATGCCAGCACCACAAAGGTGGACCCATCGAACCGGCCGGAATTAGCTAATTTTGTTGCAGTTGTTGTTGCTGCTGCTGCTGTTGCTGCTGCTGCTGCTGCTGCTGCTGTTGTTGCTGCTGCCACCGCTGCTCTGCCTGTTGCTACTTGTTGTTGTTGTTGGGGGTAGGAGTTGGTTTTGGACGAGGAATTTTCATCCTCTATAAAAATAAAATGAAAAGAAATCAAAAACATAAATAAATAAATACAAGCAAAAGCAACAACAACAAAAAAGTACAACTAAAACTAAAACTATATATGAAACACAGGTGAAAAATCAAATTTCGTAATATTTACCCAGTGAGTTCGCGTGTGTTGACAGCATGACGAATGGAATGCGAATATAAATGAAAATATCTCACTCTCGACATTAAATGAATATGGATGGAAAAGGGAACTGGAATGCAGTCAAAATAGCTTAAGGCTTTTTCTAGAGGCAGTTGGAATAGAACTATGGCAATTGTTGTCCCCGAAAGTGGATGCTATACTAGATATCGAGTATTTATATCTTTTGCCATTTGCTCAATGGAACTTGTTATTCAAATGAACTACTGAAATTATCTCGCTAGTTCAATGAACTAGTACTAGTTCTGGTTTAGTTATGCAGCTAATACTTAGCAAATACGGAACTTGTTCATTCAAAAGAACTAGTTTATTAACTAGTTCATTTAAATAGTAATGCGACTGAGCCCTACAAAATTTAATGATAAACACAATATTATGAAAACAATTTGAAACTAATATTAAAATTAAGATATTTTTATATTCATTTTAATATATTTTCTTTTGGCTTGAGAAACAAAAATGAGAATAAATTTAGCCTTGATTTTTTAGTTTGTCAATTTAACTACTCTTGTAATTCTAATAAATTTCAAGCAGTAAAGTATAACCTAACTAATTATGCTTTCTGTTAATGTTTTTTTATTTTTTATTTATTTATTTTTTTCATTGTTTGCAACTTCTAACATCCAGCACTACTATTTCTATGAACAACCGATTTTCAATGCATCTCTCTCTCTAAAATCATCAAAATGTTCAATTCTGAGCGAAGGTAACGGTATTTTTTCGAAATATATATAATAAGCAATTTTTATTATTATTTTATATTATTATTTTCCATCGGAAAAAGTAGCTTTTCATTTGGCTTAGTGCAGCACTACTATTTTAATGAACGGAACTTTATAGACTATGAGAGAACTCTGAGATATATTGAAAATATATATAACAATGTTAGTATATCTCTGTTACAAATTGGGGGTATTTACTGTCAAGTACCAAATCAATTTAAAAACCATGAGCAACAACAACAACAACAGCGACAACAACAAATGGATTGTCAAGAAAATTGTATATATATATATGTGTGTGTATGTACATATATTTATGTATGAAATGAAATTAGATAAGATGAGCATGAGCTGAGCGCAATAAATTTTGCCAGTGAATTCATATCGAATCAAATCATATGAATCATTTTCATTATTTGATTTATTTAGCTATATATAATTAAATTATACAATTATTTGAGCAATCAAGTGCTTTGCCAGCCAATAATGGACAATCAATATGCCAAGCGATTCACGTGCTGCGTGTGCTTGTGCGTGAGTGTTTAATTATTAAACAAAGTGATTACACAGAATACCCTGTAGTAGGTACTAGATAGAGGCTGATAGGTAACATCCTAAACACATGTGTTGCCTTTATCATATATCCACATATATCAGTGGCATTGTGCAGAATCTCCAATTCTGATTCTTGTCTATATATATATATCCGTATGTCTAGATGAATTTTGCAAAATATAATTCATTGTAGTAAACAGTTATTTGTAGCGAATTGTTGCAACTCTTCGAACCCAAATGACAGCTAAAGTCAATAGACATATACTGAAAGTTAACTTTTCTAATATATTGCTATACACAATCTTTATGTATCTGACAGACGACCGACAGTCTCCTTCCATATTATCGTATTTCTAGACACTTTTTACCATTTTAAAGAAACAAATATAAAAATGCACATAAATTAAAAGAATCTATAGAAGAGAATATATATATATATATATATATTATATCTTTATATGTATGTACATTACGCATAAGATTATCTGTAAATGTTTTATTTATGTAAATAAATTAAGCACAAACATAACTGAACAAGTCCACCCACACTCGAAGGTTTTATGATATCTCTTTAAAAAAAAAATAAGTCACAACTTTCGAAGCTGCACATTTTTGACACGCACACTAGCACAAGTACTCTTTCGCTCTCTCTCTCTCGCTTTCTCGCTCCGTACTTCCATGTGAGCAGAACAAATGCTGCTGCTGCTGCTTCACATTCGATCGCCACGTGCGCTTTTATCACGTGGTATATTACATACACGCACACCAAAACACACATACCAAGACGATAGTGACGATATATCCATTTCTTTTTGGGCGGCGCCGCTAGCGTCACTGACGTCGACGCTAACTGTGTTTGCGATTTCAAATTCGACTGCGACTGCGACTGCGAATGATGCGCCAACAGTAAAGCTTGAAGTGCGCTGAGGCGGCTCAGCAACTCTGTAAGTAATTCACGCTGCTCTGTCAGGCAGTTAGTATTTGTTTGTAGTTGATTTTCATTTTGTGACTGTGACATTTTTGTCTCGGATTGCGTTCTGTGGTAGTGCCCAGCGTCCGGCTGTCTTAGCACGCAACTAAATGGCAAATGTGACTTGAAAAGCTCGCGCGTCGGCAAACCTAACAACGAAATACATAATAATGCAAATTGGGAACAACAAACACACGGACCACACGCATACGTTAGCATATTACAGTTACAACAACAAGAAGAACATCAACAAAGACGACTGCATTTATCTCTAGGCGACAGCGAAGAGATGTACATTTTTATTGCGTGCTTTTAGGCGAAGAGTGTAAAAAGGGGGTTGAAGAGTGTCAGAGCGTTTATCCCGTATGGACAATGGATAACGGTGACTTTTCGCACAGACACAAACACACAAAGTCATGCGATGGTGTGAGAGAGCTAAGGAAGCAGTTCTTTAGCACAGCAACAACACCGTTGATTACACATAAATTCTCGCTAACAACGCATGTGAATGTATGTGTAATTGTGTAGATTCATACCTACATGAAATGCGAATTCTTACGCTTTGTTCTAAATATATCAAATATATCAAACGATTTCATTTATCAATATCAATATGTTGGTATTATGATTAACATGACTATAATTAATCAACTTTAACTAACTTTTGCATTTTTAAAGGGAAAGTTTAGAAACTTAAGTCAGCTAAAGCAAAGGCAAATTCAAAAGCCACCCACTCAAAAACTAAGCTATACGCTCTTCCATTTGCTTACTCACACACACATACAACCTCGCTTACGTACACATTTGCACATGTATGCAAGCGCTGGGTTGCATAACATTTGCAGTTGCCTGCTGCCCATTTGTTGTTGTTTTTGTTTCTGCGGAGCTCAGCTGAGCGCAGGCTGACTGACAACCAACACAAACACGTATGCATACGTACAACTCAAAAACAACAGAAACAGCAGCAGCGTTAAGACAGCTGTCCAAATATTACAAACACTAAATAACGGGTATGCAACAACAGCAATACAAATTGTAAGTGTAAAGAAAATAAACATAAAACATAACATAACATAAAAAGAAAGGCAGACGCTAATAAAAATATGAACGAGCTCTGTCCAAAAAGCAACAAAACAAAAAAAAATGCGTACAAAGTTCATTGACTTTGCTTTACACAGCTGCGACGTGCAAAAGAAAAAGAGAGTGAAAGAGATATAAAGAGAGCACGGAGAGCACGTCTCAGTTTAAATATTGTCTTTGCAAAGAAACCAAACACAAATAAGAAGCAACAACAAAGTAGAGAGAGTAAAGTAAAGGCACGCGCTCTCTGTCTCTTTTTGACGCTCTCTTGTGCGACGCTCACGTGGGGCTGCGTTCCCATAAACAATGGGTGAGTGTGTTCGCGCGCTTCTCTTTCTGCATGTGTGTGTGTAAATGCTGCCGATAGTATGACTAATTTGCCTGCCTGCTTGTTTTTCATGGTTGCGCTTGGCTGCCGACTAGCAAGAGACAAAAAGAGCGCTCAATCGAGAGAGTGAGGGAGCGAGTAGCGACATGACGTGACCCCAAACAACAACAGCAACAAGTACGAGCGTACGTGCAAAATGCCAAAGACAAAATGGTAATAACACACAAATATATATATTTATATTTATATATGTATATATATATTTATACATATATGTATAAATGTATTTGTATAAATACAAGTATGTACGTATGTGTATAAATTGTTTTGTTGTATGTGCCAACCAAATGAGTACAGCAAAAGCTACGCAAACGAATAAAGCGTAAGAATAAAAACAATATTGCTGCTTGGCTTCCACTACGTACCCCTCTCCCAACATTAGCTAAGGAAATGAGAGCAACAACAACACAGCTAAAGTAGGCAGCAAATTTAGCACATGCATATTTGGCTGGCTTGAGCTGAGCAAACAGAAAGCAGCAAAAGCGCTAAAAATATAACAGTACCTGCTGCTCTTATTGCCGCCGCACTTGCAATCTGGCAGCAAGAAAGCAGAGTGTGAAAGGCGGAGAGGGAGAGGTAGAGAGAAATTGCGATCGAGCCCGCCAGCTCTTTTTTTTTGTGTTTATGTGGCTGTACAGTGAGCGCCCACACAAATGCAATGTTATTATTGTTATTGTTTTTCTTTTTGTTGCTGCTGCGTTGCTAACAAGGTCAAAGCAAGTTTAAAGGCAGCAGCAGCTACGAGAGATCGACAGAGACACCGAACAGATGACAAAATGCATATGATATTGGATTGAGATTGATGAAGATGAAGCATGTTGTTAGAGTTAGCTTAATTCTAAATGTTGGACACTCACCCGAAATGATGTGACTTTCGCTGTTGCGTCCCGTTACCGTTGCTGTTGCCGTTGACTCCAACTGCCCATTACTGTCAGCGACAACGACCGTGGCGGCGCCGCTGCCAACGCCACCAGCGTACTCATAATCATGAGCAACAAGTAATGGACTGTGTGGACTGAGGCCGACCCTTGCTGCTGCCGATGATTCCGCTGCTGCTGCAGCGATGCCGTTAGTCAGTCCGTTATGGCTGTTTACGATGGCGGGTGTTGTTATTGCTGTTAGCGCGGCTGCTGCTGCTGTTGGCGTGTTGTTTCTGTTGAGTTGGCTTGCACTATTGTTGTTGTTGTGGACAATGCTTTTGCTGCTTGAGTAGATAGTGCCATTAATGAAATGCACTGGCTGATTCTGCCCGCCAATACTGATGGCAACGCCGCCTCCGCCGCCCGCCATCAACGGTGAACGCTGGAGCTCTTCCTGCTGCTCAAGGTATTGAGCAGCTTCCAGTAGGTTTTTTATGCCGCCCGATGACATAGCCGCGTCTCAACCAGCCGCCCACTCTCTCACAAGCACACACACACACAGGCACGCACGCACACACACACACACACACACACACACACGCACACACACTTAATCGCACTCACACAAACAACGAACACGAGAGAGTGAACAAACGAGCAACCGAAAGAAAGAGGGAGTCACTTAGATTTGGGTCGACACGTTTACAGTTGAAATTTGGTAAGTTTGTTGTTGCTTCTTTTCGACTTATGCTTCTTCTTCTGCTGCTGTTTCTTATTGTTGTTGCTTTTGGTGTGGGATGCACTTTAGTTGTTGTTGTTTAGTTTTTGGTGGTTGGGTATTGCACTAGCAATAGGCACCGTTACTTTTGATTTATATTGTCTAAGTTTTTATGTATGTACACATGTATGCTGAAATGAGAGTAAATCATATTGGAATCACAATTAGTATACAATATGACTTAGGGAACAAATTCAATCATTTTTAAAGCTCAACAAAAGATCAAATTCAATTATTTTAAAGCTCCACAGCCAAAAAAAAAACTAACAACATTAATATCAGATTGACTGAAACAGGTTTTCGATTAGATCAATTTCAACTTATTAATATTAAATAATAACAATTAAAGAGAAAAGAATACTACAGTAAAGGTTTTTTTGTACATCGTTTAGCCTGATCATTTTCCGATATCTGTTCGCTTTAAATGCATCGAAAATAGCTTGAGTCTTCATTAAATTCTTCATAAATTTTATATCACCGCAGATATGCAACTGAAATATTCCGTTTGCTTCAACAAACACAACTATTCAGCGAAATTTAGAAAAGTATATCGATATAACGAAAAGAACATTTTTGTCGCCTGTGCTTGCAGGAAATTTAAGAGAGCAACGCTGCGATCATGGGCAGCTGTTGTGTTTGCGCTAATTGTGCACAACTGCGTGGCGGCCGTAACACACACACGCACACTACACAAATATAAGCGCAAACGCAAACACAAAATACAAAGGCAAAGACACGTACAAAGGAGCGAACGCCACAACAAGTTGCAGAGCCCCGACGCGTCGCGACGCTGACGTCGACGTTGACGCCGACACAGCGGTCGCCTAACAATGAAAATTACATCGACGCGTGCGCGAATTCGATGTCGACGTCAGCTGCTGTTGCTGCTGCTTTTATAATATATTGTACCACGTATATATTTATATTTATATATATATATATGTACATGTACATATACATATAAATATATATATAAATATACATGTCTGTATGGGTGAGACCATTGACAACTAATGCTGCATTGTATTTCTATCATAAGTAGCCCCGTGTTCATAATTCATAAAAAGGTCAAGGGTCGATCCATTCGACAGTCGACACCTGGCAGGCAACAGAAGGATATTGCAGCCGGCAGACGACTACAAAGCTAGCCGAAGGCAAAGAGAGAGAGAGAAAGCCAGAGGAAGAGAATTGGGAAGTTCGAGACAGATGTTGTTATTACAGGCGACGCAAGCTTTTTGGCTCGCAGGAGCTTTATTTATTGTTGTTCCTCGCTGCCAGAGCTCTTACTCTCTCGCAATTAAGCTCTCCCACTCTTTAGTACGCGTGCTTTGCCTTGACATTAAACGCAATTTGATGGTCGCTTCAGGGTTGGCAGGAGCAAAGCTTTGTCGGTATAGTATGCATGTATGTGTGCACAAATATGCACAAATTCACATACATGTACATACATACAGTTGTGTTTTTGTTTTCACAGGGTGCGACAGTATGACATTTGGCGTTTGCAAAATGCAAAGAGAGTCAGAGAGCGCCAGAAATTGTAATGTGGTTAATGGGAGAGAGCGAACGTGCGTGCGTGCGTAGTAAAGGTTGACAAACTTGCGCGTGGGAAATTTCTATTAAATATTCAAATACAGAGCGCTTTAAATAGAATACAATTCGCAGTAATTGCCCAAGTTAACTAGAAGAAGAAAGACGACCACGAGCGCCCACACACCCACAGACCCTCACAAACCTCATACATGGGCCGTGTTGCGGTCACCATTTGAGAACGTGACTTATAAATGTTGGCGAAATTCAAATGTAGCCCGCTCGATGACGCGGCGGCTGCCTTATCAGAATTCTCTTTGTAACCAGAAATCGACCCTGTATGCAAAAAGAAACAACAGCAACCCCATGGGCCAAGGGTCGCACCTTAGACGTCTCATCATATTTCCCAATACTTTATGGCCCATTGTCGTCAGGCTTTCTTTCCATCTTTCATTCTTTCTTCTTCCATCTTTTTTCGGGTGAGAGCATCGTGTGAAAGAAACCTTTCGAGAATAGCCCGTACCTAAGCAATAGGCAAGGGGCATGGTAGCAAGGGGAAGGGAAATGGCTATTGCCATTGTGAACCCAGTCAAACTAATTCCTATCCGAGAACTTAAACCGGAACCTTTTTCCACATCATCTGAGAGCCAAGAGTCAAAAAGCAGAAGAAATTAAAAAAAAAAAAAACAAAACAAAAATGCAAATCTTTTAACTTTTACGATAAACTAATAAGACACAATTTGTTTAGCATTGTCGTTGATTGAAAAATAAATTCATTTCTGATAAGTAGAGTAATGGAGTAAAGATGACTCAAGGCCCAACTAGATATATATATATATGTATATATATCGTATTAGTTATCTGTATAAACCAAGTGTGTGTATACTAATCCAAAAATGCTGTAGATCGTCGCTATATGGTCACTCGATACATTGAAACTTAATATTTTGAGGTACATAAAGCAAAGCAATATATATATGCATGTACGTATATAACGGCATCTGTAAATAACCCAATTATGATACGAACACACATACATGTATATGTACAAGTATCCATGTACATATGTGGGTATTGCATAAAGGCCAAATCCGACTCATAAGCAAGTGACGATGATTCACAGATAACCTGATTTATCTCAATTTCAAGTGTTTCGAATACTTTAAGAGGGGCGAATGGAGAAACTCAAATTCACTTTTGATTATCAGAAAGTAATAAAGTTTTAGAAAGCTTTTCGGCGTGTTTCCTTTTTTCTATTTACGAGAAAGTAATTTTTATATCAATTTTCCTATGTATTATAGTTTACTTTGGTTAGATATTTTGATCGGTCAGAAATCAAATCTTTTAAGGTTATTTTTTAAATAACTGAAGGAATTTCAAGCAATTGAAATTTATATTTGATCAACTTTCCATATAAAAAGTGTAACACTTAAAAAAAGCTTAGCTGCAGGATATTTCGTAGTCGACCAAGCTCGTATCAATATTGTTAACGATCGTGCGTGATCGTACGTGTACGCTATGCTGTCACGTGGCCATCTCTAGTTTCAAGCTTGTTATCGCAACAGATGCAAAAAATATGTATGTTTGCATGTTGTGTGTGCGGTATGCACGTACGTTTGTATATAAATGTATGAATATATGTGTGTTTGCAAGTAGTTCTGTGCCGAATGACGCATACATACATACATGCAAGCCACGGCGCCAGTAGCTCTCGCTCTTTGCTTTCAAAGTCATTCGTAAGCAACTGTATGTATGTATGAATAGATCTCTGTTTGCATTGTGACTTTCTACGCACGTTTGTTGTTATTTTTATTGTTTTTTTTTTATTATTTATCATATAATGGTAAACATTGAAAACTGCAGTTAAATGCAGAAGAGCGGCGCAAGTTGGGAATGTAGAAAGTGAATTTGAAAACAACATAATCATTAAGCAACTGAAGAGCTTATAAAAACAAAAGAGCAGCTGAAGTGGAAAAACACAAAACGCAAAACGCAAGGCGAAGAAAGCAAACAGAAACAAAAAAGTTCTGGTGAAGCGAGGGATTTCTTTAGGTTCAGATTTGCACACAAAGAGACACGCAGCCAATGCGAGAGCCACAGATGGAACACACACAAACAAATACAAACACACTCATGCACATACACAGGCAGCTAAAGCGACCCACACAATCTTAGATACGCACTTTCTTTGAATTTCGTTCTACCGTCGGTTTATTATTGTTGCTAATTTCGAAAACAAAAAATAATAAAAATAATTGTGTTAGCAGCATGAATGAAGAGAGCAATAAGTTGCTTTTGCAGTTCATGTTGTTGCTGCCGATACTGCTGGTGCTACTGCATATAAAAATAGCAAAACGATTGTCTAGCGGCCAAGAGAGTGAGTAACACGAGAGAGCGATGTTTGTGTACGTTGCCTGTCTATGTGTGCGGGTGTGGGAGTCGGATAAAGGACATTGATAAAGAGAGCGCGCGAGAGAAAGAGAACTGGTTGAAGTCAACGTCAGAATTGTGCCGACGTTGGCAGCGCTGCTTTGCTAATGTTGTTGCCGTTACATGCATATACATATACATGCTTGCATATGTATGTATCATTTACACAAATACACCATCGAGTTTTGTCATGCTTGTATTTATACAATTTATTAAAAACAATATAGCACACACACACAGCGACAAAGACGACAGCTGCATGAGCCAAGGCACGCGCTTTGTGGCATGGGCACGAGAAAAAAGCTTACGCACACACACTCTCACACACACGAGAACAGCGAAAAAAGCTAAACCACGAATTCGAAAATGGCTCTGTTTGGTTTTTTTGTACTTTTATTTTTTATATACACACTTATGATATTTTCAAATGAAGATTTTGTAACTTCTATGTTGTGCACCTACTTTTTTAATCTTATTTGTTGCCAAATTGGAATTGGAAAAAAAATAGTAAATTGTTATTACTGACGCAACGGACTGACGTCGTCTGATGCTTGCTGCGACGACGACGCGCACGGCACGGCTAAACAACGAATAATGAAAACGGCAGGCGGCAACGCCAACGTTGACAAACTGCCAACAGCGCCAACTATAAAGACTGAGAGAGTAAGAGAGAGGGAGAGAGAGAGAGAGAGAGAGAGAGACAGAGAGTGAGAGGGCAAGAGAGATGAAGACACGAAAAGAGCAAGAAGGCGAGGGAGAGAAAAAGAGGGTGAGAGAGAACAAGAGCGTTTCAGTTAGCGCTCCATGGAGCTTGCGCGTGCTTGTACTGTTTTTTCTTCTATGAGTGTGCATGCGTGTGCATGTTGTATGTGTGTGGGTGTGGGCCTCTGTGCCTTAGTGTGTAGGTGAACTGGGAGAGCGCAAATATGTATGAGAAAAGCACGCGCGCCATGTACAAAATGTGTCTGTTGTGCATGCTGGCAGCGCCCCGCCCCACCCCGTACAAGTAAGCTACATTCACACACACGCATACACTGGTATATGCATGTACATATATATGTATGTATGTTAGTATATGTGTATATATGTAAGTATTGCGCACTGAAAAGGGCACATGCTAAAAACAAAGCCAAAAGCTGACGAACTGGTCCGCAGCAGCAGCAAAAATCGACATCGCTGCGCCCTGCACTTTGAACCGAAATTACTTTTACACTCTCTCACACACACAAGCACGCATTTGTGTAACAATATACATAGTGATGTATACAGTATGTTATATGCGTACATACAAATGAATGTCGAAATGCACGTATGTACAAATATGTATGTATGTATTTCTTGTTTTGTATTTACCATTGATATTATGAACAAATTCTTGTTTGTTGTTTTTTTTTTACACACATACACTTGCACGTCGAAACTATCATATACATACACTCGAAAAAAATAAACGATAAAATTGTAAAAAATTAACAATGGTTCTTAGCTAGCTGCTGGTTTGGTTTGTTGTTTTGTTTTTTTTTTTTTGAATTATTTTTGATCGTTCGCTCTGTTACTCAGCTTCTGCTCCTACCCGCACACACTGCAATGACACAAGCAAGCACAAGCAAGCAAACTAAATGCTGGCACTGTCGCTGGCTTTTACTTTGACTGGCACAGTTGCCGTCGCAGTCGCAGTCGCAGTCGCAAGCGTTGCGCCAACAGCAGCAGAAGCATTCGCAAAAACAACGAAGGCAAACGCACAGTGCAGCGAGTGCGCGAGAGCGAAGAGCGCGAACGCACGTGACGTGGTGCCGTTAAAATGTGTGTGTCATTGTTTGTGTTTGTGTGAGCGCGAAACAGGAAGAAGAAATAATAACAACAACAGCAACAGCGGCAGTGGCAGCGACGGCGGCAGCGGCAGCGACGGCAGCGCTATGTAATTGTAAATAGCGGCAGCAAGACTATTAGGGTGGACCGATTCGAGGCGTAGGCCCAAATGCGTTGAAAATTTCAGAGAATGGTTTATTTTTTAATAAACTTTAAAGAGAACTGATAATACCAAGGCTGGGGTTACTTAGCGGCTGCTGTTGCATTTGCCAATAGTGTTACAATTACGACACATGTAAGATGATTGTGTTTCATGTTGGTACTGATATTTTTTTATTTTGTAATTGCAATATTTATCTATAAAAATAAATTTTTTGTAACGAAAGAAAATTGATTTAAATTTGGATTTATTTTTCTATGTATAAAAATAAACAATAATTATTAAAGTTCAATCATAATGAAAAATCGGTGAGTATTCATAAGCTTAATATTGGGTTTGGGGCCACCCTAAGATGCTATGTTTATGCTGAGCCACTACGTCTGCAAAGCCAATATCAACTGCGACAGCGGCAGCGACTGCGGCAGCTTCTTATGCTGCGTTCGAAGCGTCAACAGTTGTAAGCTTTTGGTTTTGTTGTTATTGTTGTTGCTGCTGCTGCTGTTACTGGTGCAGTGCAGCCGCTTTTTATGCACTGTTTCGTTTTCCAAAATGTTTTGTTGGCCGGGCTTTTGTTATTGTTATGATGCGTCGTCGTCGTCGTCGTCGGCAATTTCGAAACGTGCTGGCATTTGTGTGGAACGGAACTTGTTTTGATATGCATGGGCTCGTCGTAGTGGCAGCACTGCCAGCGTCGTATGTAATAGCTGCAGCGGCTGCGAGAGCGGCAGCAGGCTTGCAGCCCCAACAACAGCAACAGCAACAGCAACAGCAAATTGTTTGTTTTTACAATTCCTCTCGCATTTTACTTTGTTGTGCGTTTTTCTGTATATGCACACATACATATGTATGCACATATATATCTACATACTTGATGAGGGGGCAGCTTGCAGCACAGCCGCTCTGCGTCGCGCTGCCAGCGTCGCTGCCAAGACAGTGAAGTTTGAAGAAGGTTCATTGTACTTTTTTGGGTTTCATCTCTGCCCCTTTGTTGCGCTTCTTCTAAACATCTGACAGCATTTCGTTGTTACGTTCCTCGATGCGTTTATGTTTACGTCTATATACTTCATTATTACACATGAACGCATGTGTATGTGTGCATATGGGTCAAAATGTTTTATTTGAAATGCGTAATTATTAGTTTTTCTGTTATAGTTGCTTCTACACACACACACATTTACATACACCAAATATATGTAAATATGCATAAATTGTACATACATAGCCAAGATATGTACATGTCTACATGTGTACATCCAACTGGCGAAACAAGTTGTTGACGTGCAAAGCAAAACAGGAATATGAGGCCAGCCTCAATAGAATGCAACGAAAACTGGCTGAAATCTTAACTGATAACTGCTCACATTCTAGATACGCCAAAAGAGAACATATATTCACAAACGTATAGAAATACCCTGGGTATCTACCGGGTATTTTAACTTACACACAACCCCATAGATAGATACCGCCTTGTTCATTAAAATAGTAGTGCTACAGAGCGCTAAATTTTTTGACAACAAATATTTTGTATACGTAATACGATTTTATGTTGCAATTCTCTGCTTTGCATTATATTCTTAAAAAAACAGTTGGAATCATTTTATTGTGGAACGTTAAGGGCACTACTATTTCTATGAACAACTGTTAGTATATAGCTATCTAAGGACATCACCTAGATATACACGTGTCTTTCTTATTTATATTGATATTCGAAATGGTTAAACACGAACTATATTTAACATTTGACTCCCTGACTGCGTTCAATTTGCTTAATCAATTTGCATTTTTATTTATAATATTATTTATTTGCGCAATTGTTGTTATTTGCACACGCGCACAACCTTTTTAGTGCGAGGAGCCCTATATAACATGCAAGTTGGCCTGTTCGAAAAACAGTTTTTGCTTTCAGGCCCATTGGATGGGTAGAAATAGCCTTGAAACCATGAAACTATTAATTGGTACTCTTATTGGTAATCTCATATATCGTATGGCTCGCAAGATTCCATTATACCTAAATATCCATTCTCTCAGCGATCATTGTGCTCCTAAGCATTACTGATCTCTCCTCAGCCCAGTGCGAATGCCAGCAAACGACTAAGAAACGACCTCCGCTAACAAAGCCCCCACAAATAACTTCTTCGCCGAAAGATGACTGCCCAATAGTTACGACTCCCGCTTGCCCTCGGATCACAACTCGGAAGACTAAGAAAACAACAACACGAAAGCCAAAGAAGACCACGACTTGCAGGCCACGAAGGACGAAGAAGACAACAACACGAAAGCCAAAGAAGACTACGACGTGTAGGCCACGAAGGACGAAGAAGACAACAACACGAAAGCCAAAGAAGACCACGACTTGCAGGCCACGAAGGACGAAGAAGACAACAACACCAAGGACAAAGAGGACAACAACTCCAAGGACAAAGAGGACAACAACACCAAGGACAAAGAAGACAACAACACCAAAATCGACAACCACAGAAGCATGCCCAACAACAACAACACCAGTACTATGTCAAACAAACATAACAACCACAACAACACCATGTTCAACAACAACAACAACACGTCCAACAACAACACGTCCAACAACAACCACAACATGCCCAACAACAACCACAACAACACCATGCCCAACAACAACCACAACATGCCCAACAACAACAACAACAACATGCAAAACAACGACAACTACGAGACGTCCTACAACAACACGTACAACAACCAGGACGACAACAACAACGACACGAAGAACAACAACCACAACAACACCATGCCCAACAACAACCACAACATGCCCAACAACAACCACAACAACACCATGCCCAACAACAACCACAACATGCCCAACAACAACAACAACAACAACAACATGCAAAACAACGACAACTACGAGACGTCCTACAACAACACGTACAACAACCAGGACGACAACAACAACGACACGAAGAACAACAACACCATGCCCAACAACAACCACAACATGCCCAACAACAACAACAACAACATGTCCAACAACGACATCTACGAGACGTCCTACAACAACACGTACAACAACCAGAACTACAACAACAACGACACCAAAAACAACAACCACCATAACAACAACTACAACGACAACGACGACAACAACATCCTGCCGAACTATAACCACGCCAAGAACAACCACAACAACAACGAGAACGACAACCACAACAACAACACAACGCCCAACGACACCAAAAACAACAACCACCATAACAACAACTACAACGACAACGACGACAACAACATCCTGCCGAACTATAACCACGCCAAGAACAACCACAACAACAACAGCGACAACAACCACACGAAGGCCATCAAAAACATGTAAGCCCCGAAATCCGTGCCGTCCCTGCGGACCTGGTGGCATACCATGCTACGGATGCCCATCAAGACAGTCGTTATGCGCGGAAGTATTGGCCCAAATTAACGATCTGAAGCGGATAATTAGGAGATGTGTCTGCGGACAACCTAATTACCTGATACACTAGGCAAAATATTTTCCTAGTGACAAAGCAAAACTTTTTTCCCAATTGAACCTGTTGACTATTGCCTAAGATGTTTTATTTAATTTTTTATATTTTCAAAAACCTTTTAAAAATTATGATTTTTTTAAATAAAGACATATTTTATACATACTTTCTGTGTGTTATTTATTTTGCCTGAATCTGGCTAGAATCCTTTGAAGTGTTACCAAATTGTGGAAAAACTATTTTGTGTTATGCAAATTCTTAATAAGTGAGATTATGAAATGAAAAATGACGTCTTTTTGACTGCAGAAAGCTCACTCTACTTACCTTGGACTTCAAAGAAAGCACATGAATTAATATCAACCGCCTTATCCTTATAGGTGAGTTTGTACGATATAAAGAGGATTTACTGTACAAGAAGAAAGCAGAATAAATATACAGAGGATGTTTTTTTTAGAGTCTTACAACTTCAAGTGGACAAACTTTAACCTATTTGACTGCTCATTTAGCTGTTGATAGTTGTTTTTTATTGAGTTTGGCTTGACATTTATTAAAATAGATTTACATTAGAGCAATGCGTGCAAATTAATAACGTTTTTATCAAAATATTAATTCCGTTTGTCGAAACTCTGCGTGCACTTCGTTCATATTATGGCGTAGATAATGATGAAGTCCATTTTGAATAGCTGCATAAATCAGTAAAATTGTCGCACAATCTAAATATATCATAATATATTGAGTTTTGTGGAAACATCATAGAAAATTACTGTTTGCTCTGTTCTATGGACTGGCAAACTTGTTAGTCCATATATCTTCAAGACTGAGAATGGTCGTCATTGTGCTGATTGCGAAAGTTGCTGTTCCAGATTACAACTTGTACGAACATATGGTCAAAATAATAGTAGAACATTGTTGTCATATCATTTTCTAGCCAATAAACTTAATTTCATTGATATTAAAAATATATTTCTTTATTTTATTCTGATATCAACTTAGGTAACTCTAAAAAAAACACTCGATAGGTGCAAAATTTTTTGCGTCATTTCACACTAGATCCAAGCTTTTTGAATTGTGTTGTATAATTTATTAATTTTCTTTTGGCCTTTTAGACTCAACCTTGAATTTTGGCTCAGAATTCAGCTTAATTGTAAAGTTCAATTTACTAGATACTCAGATAAATGGCTGCTGCTACTGGGGATGTTCGCTCTGTGGGCGTTTTTTCTACCAGAGAACATAAATAATGTTTTGATTTGTCTGATTTTCCAACGTTCCATAGTGTTTAGCTGGCAAATTTCTGAAGCATAAACAGTCGAGTCGCAATAATTTGTACCCCACCCCGGTAAGTCGCAAATTTCAATAATTCGTATAAGCTGCTGTTCCCTTGAAAAGAAACTCATGAATTCGTAAAAATTCCATACATTTTGGTCGCCTCATTAAGCCGCAGTTTTTCTTCGACGCAAATACGAATTTACCTCTTATAAATTGTAATTTTCCCTCGAAGCCTTTGGCAATTCGTAATGCAAAGTGAAATTTGCTGTCAGTTAAACAACCGTTAGGATTTGTAGACAATGCCGCCCTCATGTTGCTACAGATGCTGACTTAAAGAGTTTACGTAAAACATAAAATCGTAAAATTGCTAGACCCTTGCCAGTTTCTTTATCGGGATTCCACTGTAGTTATATTTGTCATTAGCTTACAAGGTATAGAGACTAGGGCTGTTGAGCTCCAGGTTAGATTTTGATTATCATATTTTGATTATCATATCCGAACAGGTAAGTGAAGCTATTCTGTAATTCATATAGAATTTTATAATCAGCTAGCTGTAGTAGTATTAGTTATAGTAGTATTAGTATTAGCCTGAATCTTTTAAGCCTGAACTGGCCGTTCCCAATCATGTCACTTTAGCTTTACAATCGCCGCATGCCTCCTAGAAATATTCTCCCATATAGTTAGTAGAGCAAAAGTCTGATATTCAGGCTGAAAGTTACAGCGCTTGAGTATAAAATCGAGATAATAGACAGGTCTATCAACAGAGTTGGTCAACACAAGTGCGATATTTGGCAATATTAGCTCTGAAACTGAGGACGCTATAGCCATGCCTCCAAGAGGCGTCCGTTTATAGTTTTATGGAGGAAGTCTACAGTGACTAAGCTGTCTAATTTTGAAACTCTAGCAACAGTCTAAGAATTTTCTGATAAGCCACGCCCCCCACGCCCCCGATTATACATATATTTTATATGTAGTGAATCACTCAAAGTAAACAAGCGTAACTTTTAAAGCTTTAGCTATACATTTTATAATATATAAAAAAAAATGTTGTTTTTCGATTTGCCACGTTCGCAATGACCGTCGATTCTATATCTTAGGTATATATTAACTCAACTATATACAGCTGTGTTCACAATATTAGAGAGCTGCATTCGGTTGTTCATTGAAATAGTAGTGCGGCATGATATTATTGAAAAAATATATATTAGTAAAAATTAAAAAAAAAATATATTTATCGACAGTAAGGAACTTATTATATAATTTTTACTTGTTGAAATTTGTGGAAAATGCAATTGTTTTTTTCTTATTTTATTGAAAATTTATTTTATTGAAAATTATTTATTGAAATTTATCGGCAGAAAAGAGAATTTTATCTTTTAGAATTAAAACTCAGGACAAAACTTAGAAAGAAAATAAAAATAATGTGGTTTGCACAGCTTCCACGATATTTAACGCCAATTCCTATAAGAATGTGCCTGATAATCCTGGTTGCAAATTTTGAAACTAACTTGCGAGATGGACTTATAATTGAGTATTAGAGCAAGAAATATTATCTGAAGTTAGCTGAATATTAAATAGTTTATTTTTTATTTTTCGTAGTCACTACTATTTTTATGAACAACCAAATTTTTAGAACTTGTCTTTCCCAAGCGCTGAAGTGCACTTGTTCCTAAGCTTGAAACCAAATAAATAGCTTAGTTAATAGAAGATATGTTTATCTTAATATTTCATTTCAAAAATACATGAAAAAATATTATATCTATTACAAAATTGTGTTGCCAACATTTGGTGCTCATTTATATATCATATATATAATATATATATATTATTTATATAATATATATATATATATATATTTTATGTGTACTATTTATGCTAAAAATTGCGACTATGTGTGTAAAAAGATATATGTAATTCTAGCTGATTGCTCAAGTTCCTCGGAAAACAGGCAAATTATGCTAAAATAGCTGCAATTTCATATAGATTTGATAAAGATAGATATAGATACAGAGAGATATGGATAAAACATGCCTTTTTACTTAAGCAAGACGGATGGACGGACGGGTGGATGGACAGACGAACGGACGGAAGGCCTAAATGGACGCGGCTGTTGATTGGGATCGGGATCATGGATTCAGGGTATTATCAATGGATATATTTGATATCTTTCAGATTCCCACGTGCTGTCGTCAATATGGAGCATTCGAAATATTATAAATTCGGCTGTCTATATTTAACGTGCAGCCTGCCGCAAAGTGGCTAAGCAAATATTTGCGAACGAATTTAGTTGCATGTATTTGCGCAATTGTTCAGTTCTAAAATTAATAAGCAGCAGCAGCAAGCGACTGCAGCGATGCCAGCTGGATGAGCCCTATAAAATGGGAAGCTTGGCACGGTAAAGGCATCAGTATCCGCTTTCACTTCTGTTCACTGTGAGAGCTATCTAAGAAGTACTTCGACATGAAATTCCCTGTTGCCCTTCTGATTGGTAAGCTTGTGTCAAATCAGCTTTAAGAATGGCGAACAACCGTTGTTTCTCCTTTCAGCGAGCGCCGTGCTGCTGAGCTGTGTTGAGCTCGGCTCAGCTGGCTGCGGTTGCCCAGTAACAACAACCAGGCCACCATGCCAGCCACCAACTACCACGACAACTTGCAGACCACCAACTACCACGACAACATGCAGGCCACCAACAACAACACAGCGACCATGCGAACCAATAACTACAACTACAACAAAACCAACAACAACGACAACAACACCTTGCCCCACGACAACGACAACAACAACAACGACTACGACGACGACAACAACTACGACGACAACAACAACGACAACAACACCTTGCCCCACGACAACGACAACAACAACAACGACTACGACGACGACAACAACTACGACGACAACAACAACGACAACAACAACGACAACAACAACGACGACGACAACAACCACCACCACAACAACAACCCCAACAACAACAACGACCCGAACAACCACAACGCGAAAACCAACGACAACAACAAAGAAGCCAACAACAACAACCAAGAGGACAACAACAACAAAGAAGCCAACAACAACAACCAAGAGGACAACAACAACAAAGAAGCCAACAACAACAACCAAGAGGACAACAACAACAAAGAAGCCAACAACAACAACCACGAGGACAACAACAACAAAGAAGCCAACAACAACAACCACGAGGACAACAACAACACAGCGGCCAACAACAACAACAACCACATCGAGGCCAATAACAACAACTAAAAAGCCGTGGTTGCCCTGCAAGCCATGCGGACCCGGTGGTAGGCCCTGCCTAGGTTGCCCGCACCGCAGAGAGCTCTGCGCTGAGCTGCTTTCGCAGCTCAAGAGCATTGAGCGCAAGATCAGGAAGTGCGTCTGCGGCCAAAGCCTGTTCCTGTTGCCCTAAACTGAAGATGGACCGAGTATTGCGACCGATAAAACCCAACCGATGACTACCTTTAGAAAGCTGTGAATGGATTGACATTTGGATTCGTTGATTAATTATTTTTATGATTGTTAATTTTTTTTTATACATTTTAAAATATATGTATATTGTTGCATTGACGTGATGAAGTTTCACCATCAGGACATTAAGTTTGAAGTGCCTCGAAATGAGAACTTCAGAGTCTATAATTCGCTATAGACATCAGCCAATACTTACTAAAACCTATATGCAAAGTCTGGTATCGCTTGCTATTACAATCTGTAGCTATGCAGCTCAAAAGCTAAAATGTTTATGAGTCCTTAGTCAAGCAAGGTTGCCTTTTCCAGTCAGGGAGTGTCCGACTTGAGTATACCTGACCATGCTGCTATTTCAACATTGTGAATTGAAAGTCCATGAAAAGCAAAAAAAAATATCGAATTTTATCGATAAAAAAAGGACATGGGTTAACATAAGGTATACAAGAATATAGATGTAGATATTTAAAATCCTTTGCTTTTGTAGTTCACGAGAACAGTGCGCTTAATAGCGAGGACGGATGGAGCGAGATAACCAAAGGTCTTAACTCTGTTCGCATAGAGTAGCCCCCTTTAATAAGCCACCAGCTTTAGCTTTTATCGACTCTGCAAGTTGTAAGGACTGAAGGACCTAAGCGAATGCAATAAAGATCAATTGATCCTACAGCACAAGGAAACAGAATAGCCAACTCTAAGAATGCTGCTTCTATAACAACTATGAATATCAACAACAACAACAACAACAACAACAACACCATACCACATAACTCCAGAGAACAACGACAACAACCACATGATCCATAGCAATATGCGCCGCAACAAGAGCAAAACGCAAGTAGAACCACAATTGTGATCACGCCACTCTTAACACCTACAACAGCAACAACAATGGCAACAACAACGTATTGAACAACAACGACAACTATCATAAGAACAGCAGCAACAACGACACCTCCCTTAGCAATCTCAGCCACAGCCACAACAACAACAACACGCTTAGCAATTGCAACGACAACAACAACACCGTGCTCAACAGCAACGACAACTATCAACAACATGCTGCACATCAACAGCAACAACAACAAAAACAATAATAACAACATTGCTAACACGCCCAACAACAACAACAACAACAATGTGCGCAACTACAACAATAACAAGACGGACAACTATATGGCCTACAACAACAACAACAACAACGCGTCCAGCAACAGCGACAACAACAATACCCAAAAGAACCTTGAATGTTCAACATGAAGGACGCTGTGCGTGCAGCTCTAAGCACTCGCAGTGACAGTCCTTGATCACAGGCTTAGTAGAGAGCTTTGCTGTTCGTCTGCATTGAAAATGGACTCCAGTTTGGGGACCTGTGTAGCTGAGCAACTATTGCTAGTAATTTTGGTAGTCCAGATCTTAGCCAAAATATATATTTGATACATGCATTTACGCAACAGTCATTTACAGGGTACACACACATGAAGCTGCGAGACAATTATTTGGCAAATTGGTTAAGGTGCAAAGTGCCGATGAGAAACCCAGAAGCACAAGCGGAAGCATAAACATAAGCAAAAAGAAAAACAAAACTAAAATCAAGAACAAAAACAAAATCCAAAGCAAAAGCAAAGGCAATGCGCAATTATCAAATATCAAGCGTCAACGCTTTAGCGCTGCCTGCAGAAGGCAGGAACAGCAGCGGCGGCAGCAGCAGCGACGGCAGCAGCAGCGACGGCAGCAGCAGCGGCAGCAGCAGAAGGAGCAACAGAGGCAGCAGCAGCAGCCAATGCAGCGGTGCAGAGAGCGCTTTATGTACGTGGAAGCCCAAGTGAAGTTTATTGTGAGCCAAACAACAACAAACCCAAACACAAACAGACAGCATAAGCGAGAGAGCAAACGGTTTATTGTTGATACTCAGAGAGCGTGAGTGGATGTTGGGCAGGGAGAGCAAGAGCTAGAGCAAGAGCGTGAGCTGAAGCGGGAGCGAGCGCGAGAGCCTGTTAGAAAACCGGGTGAGTAAGGAGCATGGTACGAAAACAAAAACAAACGTGCAATGTTAAGAGCGAGCAAAGTACGTTGAGAGCGCTTTTCGGTTGGCGAAAGACAATGTGAAGCAGCAGTTAAGAAAATGCGTCGCAAAAACACGGCGCAGGTGCGCAGAGTGCAAGTCATGGCTGCCGGCCAGGACGAACGGAAAAACTGAGGCAAACGCTGTTTTATGTAAACTGTAATGACATTGATATGACATGTGGTGGTGAGGCGTGCGACAAGTAAGAGAAGCATTGGAAAAGAACCAGAAAAAACGAACAGTAAGACCGGAAAATAAATTAAAGAAGACGACAAATAGCACACACAACAGAATCGCCAACAATAACAACAATGTGCAACGTGCGTACGCAACGGAGGGAACAGAATGAACGACAGCAAAGATGTGGAGTAGGCTGAAAGAGAGAAAGAGAGAAGAGAAAGAGAGAGAAACGGGGAGAGAAAGAGAGAGAGAGAACGCCACGTATTTGCCACGATATAAAATGTGAATGAAAACAGCGCAACGTCAACGCCGTCAACGACGTCAGCGTCGGCGTTAGCGCTGGCGTTGACGTCGTTGCTGACTGTGCAACAATTTGTTGCCGCAACATGCGCTCTTCAAGCGCTAGCACCAAGCCTATGGGTGAGCGAGCAAGCAAGACACAGAAAGAAACAGAGTGAAAGAGCGAGATAGAGAGAGATGGAGCGGACGAGTGTATGTAATAACAAGAACAACAACAACTGTTAAATTGTGCAATGAAGGCAGCAAATTGTCAACGAGGCGACGACTCGGCAGACATGACGCAAGCAACGACGCCGACGGCGCTGCGTTCACCCACACACAGCTGCTACGTTTAGCTGCATTGTCCTGGGGATTTGCTTTCGCTACTTTCGCGCAACTCGCGTGCGCTTAACTATTTATAAAATGTCCGGGCACCTGGACACGGACTCGGACTCGAATACGGACCCGGACACGGACTAGGACTCACACCGGCCCCGAGCTTGGACTCGGACAACCGCAATTCTGCTGCAGCTGACGTTGACGTTACCACTGACAGGGCCCAGAGCCGGAACTGCAAGCGCCCCCTTTAAAGTTGTGTATGTTGCAACGATTGCAAGGAATCTACTTCTAAATTCTACAAATAACCAGACTTAATAATGAGCTAAGTACCCACCTATCCGGGCCAATAAACTATTCAAGCTGCTCGACTATGAGGGCTTCGAGCTCATTGTTAATGCAAAATCTATATAGATCACACGCTAAGCAGTAACTGTACCAAAATATGGGAATTTTCATTTAGATTTCAGGATTGACCAATAAGGAATTAAGTAGAGATACCCGCAAAATGATCCGATTTTGTTTTAGCCATATTAGGTAATATCTGTCAATATGCAATCTGAATACTTGTTAGAATTATGTATTCATATGGGCAATATCTATAACAGAATAGGTTGGCTAAGCCATATAGCTCTCACGCTAAGCAGTAATAGATATCTAAATTATAGATCTATGAGAAAGTAGATATTAGAGATTTATCTGTCATATACTATACTTCAGATAAGCTGATGATCATAATACTCTTTCCCGAAGTAAAAGAGTATATTAGTCTGTACGTCCGTCCGTCCATATGTCCGTACGAATGCCGCTATTTAAGCTAGAGACTTGATATTCTTGACTAACCTCGTCTTATAAAGTGTTAAGATTTTTCCGATATACAGTTTATATATCTATATTTATATATATATTCATATAAAGCTATAAACCTAAATTAATCTATAACTATAGTTGAGCTACCGGAGACTCTTTCCCGACTGCCTTACCAATCGGGAATGGGTATATTGCAGTCGGTAATGCCCGTGCGCAACACGCTAACTTTTTACCCAATTGTTAGTCCCACAAAAATGATAAGAATATTGGTTTTAAAAGACTCGACCTTCGGGCTTGGCATTTATTCACATTCCATGCCCCGTTATTGACTTGAAACTGTTCACAAATATCGAACAGTAAACACCAAAGTTATTCAATAACGCGTTGCCCAAAAGGGGGTTGACGGAAGTGGAAAGAAGAAGCAAAAGGATGGAAGGGGAAGCAACCGCAGAAATGAATTGCGCAGTTTGCAACGTGTGTGTCATACGTGTGTGTGTGTGTGTGTGTGTGTGTGTGGGTTGGATTTGAGAGTGCGTCATGACATCACATTGCTGCCTACAGGGTATCCTCGAGCTCGTCACATAGTGACTAAGCGCCCGTTCAGACTGCACCTGGCTAGCTGGTATACTTTATTGCATACCTTAAGCCCTCGCAGTGGATCCCTCGCAAGTGTCTGCTTAGCTTCCATTTGTTCACACGATATGCCTTAGACCTCCCACCCAGCCACATGGCTGTCTCTGTTTGGCTGCGTGTTGCTGCCTTCTTTCAGTGTTTGCCTTGGGCAGCATAGCTGAAGATTTCAGCGAAGAGAACAAGAGAACTATATATATATATTCCTAATCAAAATACTACGATCCACATTTGAAGGGTAGCCCGTTCGAGTAGGACTATATCTATCACAGTCTTGAGGCTTGTGCCAAGTAAAGATCTATTCAGAATCGTCAACTTCTGTTGAGTTTGATTCACTGCATCATGCAACGCCTCCTATAAATGATGTCCCTCAGTTGCTTTCTTCTAGCTTGAAGCCTTTTCCGCTTTCTTACGTGCAAGCCCGACTGCATAATACTGGCACCAAAATATTTAATTTATTTTTTTCTTTATAATTCATGGATCTATCTGCAAAGCAGCTGAGCACTGATGCAACTTGAAGACAAAACTTGAAGACGCCGCATCTAGCCCAAAGTTTGTTCAGGCTTGCCACGCCTACGAGAGCAATAAGTGAAAGAGAACCACTGATTTGTTATGGGTTTTCACCTCTAGAATGTCTATTCTTCAACTGA